GGATCTCATACTAAGTGAAGTCCTAAGGACAAGTCATTCACCTTCAGGCAAAGCCCCTTCCTTTGAAGCCTTGAGGATGAATGAGGCTGAGAAGGATGCTCAGATTTTGGATCCAGAGATACAGATGCCCAGACTGACTCTCCAGAAGAAGAGGAAATATTTCTTTTATGCATCGTCCAAAATCCTATTTTCCCATCTGGTATAAAAGCTTAACCCTGCAGCTCTGAAACCCAAGGAGTTTTGGGGAGGTGGGCAGTTGACCACCTCTCTCTAAATATCTCCTTGAGAACACCATTGCCATGAGGTTCATGGGCTCAAGTCCTTCAAGGAAGTGGAGACGGGGAGAGAATCAAGTACGGATCCAGCTAGATCCCAATCTTCAAGCATTAACAGCAACTGGGAAAGGCCAGTGCAAAAGCACATTCCAGATAAGTCAGATTGGAACTCCTTTCCGTTGCGTCTTGCATTCCCTTCCCTTCCCCCTTCCCTTTTCTTCCCTTCCTTTCATTTGGTGATGCCACACAGTCTGTGGTGCTCAGGGTTTACTACTGACTCTGCACTCAGGGATCACTCCTGGTGGGCTCAGGGACCCATATGAGGGTCGGGGATTGAACCCAGGTCCTTTTTGTATTGGGGCCACACCCAGCAGTGAATTTTAAATGAATGATGTCAGGAGGCCAATCACAAGAGGTGGCTATTTCATTTGGTCATTTTCAAAACAGATGATTCAATGCAACATGGAAACTCTTTTAAATGAGAGAGGACGAAGTGAGAGAACAGACTCGGCAGATAAAGGTCTGCCACTCCATGTCTCAGTGATGGCAGAAGGCGGAAGCCTCAGTCTGAGGGGGAGGGCAGGTTTCCTGAAATGGTCTCTTTTCTCAGGTGACAACAGTAGAAAATGCATGTGATCATCTTAGGGCTAGGATAAATGACACAGTGGACTAGGATGTGTGTATGCAGAGAGTAACATAAACAGACCTGAAACACACAGACTGAGTAGAAGGGTAAAAACAGAAGGAGATCTGCTGCATGAGGACACTTATATTTACTGTAATACACAAAACGCAATGATACAAATTTTCCAGAACACTCATCTAACGTGTGGACCCATGTATAGTGAGTAGGATATGTATTAAAGGAGAAAACAGGTTGTTAGGTTGCTTATTCTCTTTTCCTTCAAAGGTGACTGGCCTAAATAAAAAAATAATTTATCTCTTAAGAGAAATAATTTACAATTATCACTATCACATCACTATCACTATCCTCCCGTTCATCGATTTGCTTGAGCGGGCCCAGTAACATCTCCATTGGAGGCTTTGTTGTTACTGTATTTGGCATATCGAATACATCACGGGGAGCTTGCCAGGCTCTGCTGTGAGGGCGAGATATTCTCGGTAGCTTGCTGGGCTCTCTGAGAGGGGCGGAGGAATCAAACTCAGGTTGGCCATGTTGGCTGCGTGCAAGGCAAACTCCCTACCGCTGTAGTTTGGACTTCCTTCTTTTCTTTTTTTTTCTATTTTTGAGGTATAGCTTACTGTGCTCAGGGGTTACTCCTGGATCTGTGCTCAGGTAACACTCATGGTAGTGCTCCAGGGACTATATGGGATGGCCACATACAAGGCAAAGGCTCTAATCACTGCACTATTGTGGGAAGCTGAATTCTTTCTGAAGATTTCTGAGGCAGCCCACAGTCTTCCTAAATTCTAATTTTTTCTTTAAGTTCCTCTCAAGAACAGCTTTTGCTCTAGTCCATGGCTGGCTTGCCACAGATTTACACAAGTTCCAGCCACTTGCTTCCAACAGTCTGCTGGCCTCTTTTTGGCTTCCACCTCTAGCTCCCTGACCAAATCCCGGGCTGGCCAGCGGGTCCCAGGCTGAGGCCCCAGGAGAATGCTGTCCCCTCATAGCCTTGCCACTGTGGGTTCCATGGCCAGTTCTCCAACCCCCGGGATGAGTTGGCAATAGAAGATTGTGGCTCAGTCTCACCTGGTATTGCTCAGGGTGAGATAGTGACCGCAAGCGTGTCTGCTATTGTCCACCCCCTAAACAACTCAACACTGTGACTGTGGAGGGCAGAGGCCCAGATATAGCCGGCATTGGAGGGGCAAGTGGCCATGTGGGTTAGGTGGCATTGCTAGCCCGACCCAGGCCCATTGTATGCTGACAACTTTTGCTGGGTCAAAAGCAAGCGAATGTTTCCCATATTTCTCACCCAAATCCCAGAGTGCTTTTTTCCTCCTAGGTCACTTTTCATTTTGAAATTTATTTGTTATTTTTGTACTAAACCAGCATTGTAGCTGGATTCTCATTACTTTACAAAGACCCATGTTAACCCCCTCTCTGTGGCAAATTCTAATTATATTTGCCATGTGGAGTGAGGAGTGCTGTGACCGCTCTTGGTTTTTCTGGTTCCTTTGAAAGAGAAGATGTGAGCTGGCCTCAATGACACCGGTAGAGGCTGAAGAGCTCTTTGTTTGAGACCCCTGGGGGCGCAAAGGCCACAGCACCATTGAACAAACTGAGTATGAACTGCAAGGATGAAATTACAATGGGATTTTTTTAAATAAATAGATGTTTCTTTTACAGCATATTTGATATACAAAAATATATTAATTGGAGGGCCAAAATGACAGTACAAGGAGTAGGGCACTTATCTTGCATACAAATAACCTGGGTTCAATCCCCAGTATCCCCATATGGTTTTCCGAGCACACCAAGAGTGACCCCTGAATGTAGAGCCAGAAGTAACCCCTGGGCATTTCCAGGTGTACAACCCCTCCCCCAATGTGTTAATTGACGATGTTTTGGGTAATATTTCTGGCTGATAGAAATTAAGTCTGGGGAAGTCAACAGTGACCTGGATATTTTTGAGCTATGGAATAGATAGGGGTTGGCATCCCTCACCCCCTTTGAAGAGATGAGCCACACAATAAGCAATGGCAACACCAGGACAGATGGCACCTAACCTGAAGTTTTGAATAGGCATAAGTTTTTGCTTCCCCAAAACAGGACTTGCAACTTCTGGTAAGCTCTCTGTTGAATGATCATGGTCACGGTCCTCCCATTGTTCATCAATTTGCTCGAGCGGGCCCAGTAACATCTCCATTGCGAGACTTGTTGTTACTGTGTTTGGCATATTGACTACGTCACGGGTAGCTTGCCAGGCTTTGCTGTGCTGGCGAGATACTCTCGGTAACTTGCCGGGCTCTCTGAGAGGGACGGAGGAATTGAACCCAGCTCGGCCAGGCCAGCTGTGAGCAAGACAAACGCCCTATCGCTCCAGCCCTGTTGAATAACTTGCTCAAATGAGGAACTGCCATATGCGTCTGGCCAATCATGAGGGGTCACTATGCCCTCCTTGGAAACACCACAAACTGTTACTGGGAACTATCGTCTAACTGCTGACCACTGTTGCCTGACCACTGTTGCCATAGTGCTTGCTTAACTTTGAACCCTATGTAAACCACCTGTGATTTGGAGTCAGGGTCCTTGTCAAGACTCCACTGCATTGGATGAGACTTGGACGCTAGCTCGAGCTGGCAATAAAGTTCCTTTTCCTTTGCATTATTGTGTGCGGATTTGGTCTCTCTGCGACTGGGGATCTGAAACTTGGGCATAATACTTTGTTGTTTAAAAGTCAACTATATGCGGGCTCCATTAAGCTTTAGGTCAGAGTGCTTCCCACCCTAGAACCTGGATAGAGCTCAGGCCATTCTGCCACATCTCAGCGGAGGCCAAGAATACTGGTGTGATGTCAGATGACCCTGCGCCTACTTCCTTGGCAGGCTGTGAGAAAGTTCTAGGCTGAGTGTGGCCAGAAGGCAGAACATCTCCAGATAATCACTTGGGACACAGACTGTCCTTCAGTCCAACATACCTGAAAGCCACCCAACGTGAGTGTCTGGTGGCACCAGGTGGTGGTCAGTGTCATGCACATGAGCAGTAATTGGACTCATTTGGTTCGGCTTGGCCTGAGGAAACCACTGAGCTGACCTGCACAAGGATCCCCAGAAGCCAGAACTGGAAGATGGGCCCAAGGTGGCAGCTATAAGGTCCTTCACTCTCACTTTCTTCCCAGTTCACGGAGAGAAATGGCCACTTCCTGAAATAGGGACGCCCTGGAGAACTGAATTTCAAATTTAACTGGCCATGGAAGTAGGTATTGATTGGAAGGAGTGTGAGTCTGGGTTGGAAACTGGCACAAGTAGAGAGAAATATGTGAATGAGACTGGATCTTTGCTTTTGCAGAGAAGTCCTACTTTTATTCTATTTAAATTTCTCTCTACACTTCTTCTTGGTATTGATCTCTTTCCCATGTAGGAAGATACTGCAAAAGAAGCTTTCTATTTAAGCACCAACGTAGAGCCTGGAGCATGCACAGGGAGAGAAGGGTTTCTGTTGATTTTTTTCAGAAAATTTAAAGTTGGAGAACCAATGACTTCTTCCCTCCCTCCCTCCCTCCCTCCCTCCCTTCCTTCCTTCCTTCCTTCCTTCCTTCCTTCCTTCCTTCCTTCCTCACAGTTTCAAGTAATCTAAGTTTGTTTTTTTTTAGGACACATGTGGTGTTGCTCAAGACTGACCCCCGGCTCTGAGCTCTGGGGTCACTCCTGGCACTACTCAGGGAACCAGATGCAGTTCCAGGGATCAAACCCTGGGCTCCTGCATGCAGAGTCTGCTCTTCAGACAATCAGACAATTGAGCCAGCTCGCCAGCCCATCAAAGGGTTTCCCAGAGCTCTAAACTCACACCGAGACTTGTACTGATCTGAAGTGTCAGGGACATCCCGTGACCCTCTGAGTCTGTAGGAGGGCCCCACACTGTGGAGAGTGGGTCATGGAATGAGATTAGTGTCTCCGGAGTCTTTATCTTTGTCCCCCTGCCTCGTGGGAGCCTGCAAGAGGACCAGAGGCTTGTAGACTCCTGTCAGGCTTGTTGCCTTCCTTGGTGAAGTTTAAGAGGGCACAGAGGGAAATCCCTGTCACCCCATCGTAACTCACCCACAAAGAGCTGGCTGTAGAGTTCCAGGCGCGTGTGACCTTCCGTCGGGGCCTTGCGCACCTTCTGGGGCAGTCGGTCCACCTGCAGGCTGGCCTGCTTGACGTTCCTCTCAGCGGTAACCCGGTGCCACTGGTCATCGTTGAGAGGGGAGGGCGCCCTCACCACGATCTCCACAGGCCCATTTCCCACATCGAACGAGAAGGACACTTCTGTGGCAGCTAGAGGAAGAGAAAGTGTAAAAGCCTCATCAGCGCTTCCCTGAAACCAAGCTGTATCAGGACATTTGAGGGGGGAAGTGAAGTAGGGAGAGGAAAGTAATTTGAGCTCAGTCCTTCCTGCATAGTCCAGGACAAAAGTCTAGAAGGCAGAGGATGCCCACTTCTATCCATTATGAGCCACCATAAATTCTTCCCAGACCAGACACCTGGGGGAGGGAGGAAGGGAAGGAGGAAGGAAGGAAGGAAGGAAGGAAGGAAGGGAGGGAGGGAGGGAGGGAGGGAGGGAGGGAGGGAGGGAGGGAAGAAAAAAAGAAAGGTAGGGAGGGAGGAAGGATGGAAGGAATGAAGGAAGGAAGGAGGAAAGGAAGGAAGGATGGAAGGAATGAAGGAAGGAAGGAGGAAAGGAAGGAAGGATGGAAGGAATGAAGGAAGGAGAGAAGGAAGGAGGGAGAGAGAGAGGAAGAAAGAAAGGAAGGAAGGGAGGAGGGAGAGAGGGAGGAAGAAAGGAAGGAAGGAAGGACGAGGAAAGGAAGGGAGGAGGGAGAGAGGGAAGAAGGAAGAAAGGAGGGAGAGAGGGAAGAAGGAAGAAAGGAAGGAAGGAGAAGGGAAGAAAGGAAGGAAGGAGGAAAGGAAGGAAGGAATGAAGGAAGGAAGGAAGTGAGGAAGGAGGGAGGGAGGAAGGAAAGATGGAAGAAAGGAAGGGGAGGAAAGAAATGAAGGAAGGAAGGGAGGGAGGAGGAAGGATGGAAAGAAGAAAGGAAGGAGGGAAGGAAGGGAGGAAGGGAGGGAGGAAGGAAGGATGAGGGAAGGAAGGATGAGGGAAGGAAGGATGAGGGAAGGAAGGAAGGAGGAAAAAGGAAGGAAGGAGGGATGGAAGTCAGGCAGACAACAGGCAGGCAGGCAGGAAGGATGGAAAGGAGGGAGAGAGGGAGATAGGGAGGGAGATAGGGAGGGAAGAAGGAAAGAATGGAGGAAGGGAGGGAGGGAGGAAGGAAGGAAGGAAGGAAGGAAGGGAGGGAGGAAGAGGGAGGGAGGAAGTGAGGGAGGGAGGGATGAAGGAAGAAAGGAAGTTATTGGTCTTCCAAAGACTACGCTCATGGGGAGTGTCTCGGATTAGCCAGGAGTGGGGTGAGCACCTGGGCCAGGCTGTTAGATTTCTGTCTGACTCCCTCACTACTCAGCTACCTGACACTCGTGGGTTAGGGCCTTAAATCCGGGGCCAAAAGTTGGGGTCACACGGGAAACATTTCGAAACACTCGAGTCCAGCTCTGTACACAAATATTTAGACTCTGTAGGTCTGGAGTAAGCCTCTATCTTTTGAAAAAGCTCCCTGCAAAGGTGCCATAAAGCTGAAGTTAGAGCAATTGACTAAATTTGGTTTTCTAAATCAAGTCACTCTCACCCCTTGAGCACTAGGGAGCAATGGGTCTCCTGGACATTGGAGGTGACTGGCATCTCAGGGGGACCCAGATGACTGCTCACGCTCAAAAATCCCACCCAGTAGCCCCTTCCCGCAGTGCCTGCTGCCCACCTTGGTTTTGTGCCAGCTGTTCACCTCATCCTTCTCATGAGACCTCTCAATGACCATTAGCCATTTTGTTCTGATTTTGGGGTTAGACCTGGCAGTTCTCAGGGCTTAATCCCGGCGCCCAGCTCAGGGATCACTTCTGGAAGGACTCCAGGGAACTTATGTGACAGCGGATCTAGAACCAAGGCCGGCTGCATGCAAAGCAACCTCCTCATCCGCTGTACTCTCTCTCTCTCCAGAAAAATCATTATTTCCCCCCCCCCCTCGTAAATCTATTCCAAATCAATCTCCTGTGACAAATCACCTTACAATAATGAGAAGAAACAAATAAGGGTGCTTTGGAAACTTGGGTTGTGGTGACATTCTCACTTCCTGTTTCAGAGTTCAGTTCCTGCTTTACACGTTTTTAGAGTCCTAGATGCCTCGTGTTGGGCAGCAGAGGTGTGTCATGGCCCTCACAACTCCCAAGGCCTCCTAGAGTTCCTCCCCTCCTTACATGTGGCGTCACTGTGGGGTTCCTAACTTTGCTCATAGACTGTCAGCTCCTCTCACCATCACCTAGCCTCCAGCCTCGTCTCTGGCAATTTAATGACTTATCTATCATTTTCCCAGATGAATGGAGAAACCATTTTACCAGAAACGGTACCATTTTGCGATGATGTCATAGTAATGGGCTGGAGTGATAGCACAGTGGTAGGGCGTTTGTTTGCCTTGCAGGCAGCCAACATGGCCGACCTGAGTTCGATTCCTCCGCCCCTCTCGGAGAGCCTGGCAAGCTACCGAGAGTATCTCGCCCAGACAGCAAAGCCTGGCAAGTTACCCATGATGTATTCAATATGCCAAACACAGTAACAAGTCTCACAATGTTACTGGGCCCGCTCGAGCAAAATCGATGAACAATGGGAGGACAGTGACAATGACAGTCATAGTAATCAAACTTCTTGAAAAATTCTCATTGGGGTAGAATCTTTTAGGTCCTAAGCCCACTCCCGTCTCTGGGTCAGACCCTTCTGGAAGCTGCATTAATTTTATGGCACCTCCAGAGCTCACTGTCACCCACAGAACTGCAGGAGGAGGCCCTGATCTTGGCTGTCATTGGCAAGGGAGGATCCATTCGAATCTCCTGGTGAGTGTGTGGCTGGCAACCTCCCTGAGCTGGGTATGGAAACGGGTCCAAATGCTGGAGATCATCAAGTGACCCATGGCCTGGACGGGCTTCCCCTGAATGTGTGCGCTTGTCTACACGGAGAAGCAGCCTTTGTGTTAAGACTTAAATTTGTCCTGGACTAACAGAATCTATTTAAGCAGATATGTTAAAAATATAAGTTGTCAGAGTTGCAGGAGAACCAGGGATCCTGAGAGGAGTAGGGAAGGTGGTTTGGGTTCAGAGGCATCAGCAGTCATTAGGGAAATGAAATTCATGCATAGAAGTTCCAAGGCAAGGGTCTGACTATAAGCTGGGGGGGACAATGAGGCTTTAATTTCCTCTCTTCCATGTCCTGCTAGATGCATTCTTGTCCACATCCTAAAGTTATCACCATTCTTAGGAAATGTGCACACCAGCAGTTAACTAAGAAATGCCATGGTTCTTTATCATTTTTTTTCATTTTTTTAAAGAAAATTTTTATTAGTGAAACACCATAAGGTACAGTTGTAGACTTACAAATTTTTGTGCTTGGGTTTCAGTTATACAATGATTGAGTACCCATCCCTCCACCAGTGCCCATTCTCCACCATCACTGATCCCAGTATCCCTCCTACCCCCCAACTCCCCCCCTCCCCCCCCCCCCCCCCGCCATCCCACCCTGCCTCTGTGGCAGGGCATTCCCTTTTGTTCTCTCTCTCCTTTTGGGTGCTGTGGTTTGCAAAAGAGGCATTGAATGGCATTTTAAAACTGTTTTTTTTTGTTTTGTTTCTTTTGGAGGGGGTTGGTTCATCTGACCATGCTCAACGGCTACTCCTGGCTCTGTGCTCAGCAGTGACCCCTGACTCTGCTGAGGGAGACCAAATACCATGCTGGGGATGGAACCGGGTGGATTGCCTGCAAAACAAGTGCCTTTCCTGCTTCCTGCTGAACTACCTCTTCTCTCCTAGTTATGCTTTTCACCTCTGCCAATCATCTGGGGGTCCCCGATTGCAGCCTCTGAATGGGGTCCTCTGTACACCAACACCTCACTCTCAGCAGGAGAGGGTCTCCAATGGGGACCGCAGCCCAGGGGTCTCTGTCAGCCTTCTCCTAGGGCTTCCCTTGGGCTCTTCCAAGGAGGCCCCCCTAAGGTGGGCACATGCCCTCTCCCGGGGTGCCTGCCAGGGTCTCATTCAGCTCCATCCTCCTGACAGTGCTCAGTGATGCCTCTGAGAAGCGTCTTTCCACCCCAGCAAGAGTGAGCTCTGAGCTTCTGAAGTTCAGTTTGCTGCTGACTGCTCTCGGTCTTCTGGGTGAGAGGAACTGACATTTTAAAAGAGATAATTACTGAGAGCGCCAGTGAGCAAATCAAAGGGAGGCAGCATGTGAGGGACATGGAATCACGGCGCCGTTATTTAGGCAGCTCCACGCGGAGATGGAGGCATGGTCCCAGCTCTGCCAAGAAGGGGCACGTGCGACAGAGGCTCTGATTTCCAGCAGTGCCGCTGGGCACCTAGATGTGACCGACATGACTCGTGGGAAGACACAGTGGGAAACCCTGTGCTTGCCACTCGTGTCAAGGACTGGAGTGTGAGTGACTTGCAGACGCCCCAGGTGGCTGCCCTGGGCTCAGAGATGCTGGAGAAGGCAGGAGATGCCTGAGCCAAGATGGGATTTCCCAGCCTGGCATGTGGCCGGGGTGGGGTGGGGGGTTGGTTGGGGGGGAGGTCGGGGCATCATGTCCACATGGAATTCCTTGTCTCTAAGTGCCCTGGGGTCAGCTTCAGGCTGCATCAGACATTCTCCATGTTGAGTTCACGTCCCAGTGAGCGATCTTGAATTTGGGAAATCCCATTAAAAAATCTGGGTGTCTTTAATTTTGTTTATTTTAAATTAAAAAATTTTTAATTAAAAAATTTTAATTCCCACAGAGGCAGGGTGGGATGGGGGGGGGATGGGGGTGGGAGGGATATTATCCATGGTGGTGGAAAATGGGCACTGGTAGAGGGATGGGTATTTTATCATTGTATAATCGAAACCCAAGCACAAAAATTTGTAAGTCTACAACTGTACCTCATGGTGTTTCACTAATAATAATAAAATTTTTTTTAATTGAGTCACTGTGAGATACACAGTTACAAAGCTGTCCGTGATCAGGTTTCAGTCATACAATGATCCAACACCCGTCCCTCCACCAGTATCCTTTTTCCCACCATCAATGACCCCAGTTTCCCTCCCGCCAACCCCCTCCCCCACTGTGGCTCTAAGGCAGGCACTTTCCTTCACTCCCTATTTTTAATTTTTTAAAAAAAATTTATAAATTACTTCAAAATATTTGATTACGT